CAAACTTGTCAACGACCCCAAACGTTCGTGATCTGAATGTACAGAGAGGTCTTTTGCGAAAGAATAAAACTGTAAATCAAAATCTAAGCCAAGAAAAACAGAGCACATTGATTTGAATGTCAAATTCGACCAGAATGGCCTTTAAAGATCTTTTAACTATAGACTTTTTCTTCCTTGAAACAATCAGATATTATCAGATTAAAATCCGTTTTGTTTCTCCTGGTAAGATAATTTAATTAAGCATTTGTATGATGTCGAAGAAACTTCCTCTCTGTGGAAATTCTTGCTTATTTCTTTATTACATTTTGGACAGAAAACAGTGGTATTTTGATGAATAATTGGAAATATGTCAATCTCCAGATTCAGGAAAGCGTTAATTTGATAACAACCATATCTTGTCATTTTTTCCTGAACTTTAAAGATTGCTTAAAGCTTAAAGCCAAACAAATTTACACCATGATTACAGTAGTGTATACTGAACTGACGAATTGCTTTTCTACGGCATGCTGTTGTCTACGATTTGTGTAAGATGCAGCTCAATTTTGGAAGTTCATTTGTGCATTACATTAGAGTATTCCTTACTCGTGAACGTCGATATGTGTTGCTAAAATGGAATATCACCTTACCTCTGTAGGAACAAATTCGAATGCCTAATTGGTAATATACCTGATCAGGGATTGCTTATGTTGTTAGTTTAAACCATAGTCGTACTACTGTCAGCATTTAATATTCTGATTTCTTGATCATTCGATATACATTTTACATAACAGGGCTTTAAAGGTCAAGTTAAAGCAATGTAAATTCCAACGTTCCAACGACATGAATACAATTTCTATGAACTATTTCTGTCAAACTAATCTATAAACATGCACACAATATTTTACAAAAAAATAGACAGAGTATCAATATTTCATTGAAAAGCTGCAAAACTTGGCTTTTTTTCTCTCGAACTTCATCCAATAAAAATAGTTGCCAGGCTAATTATCTGTCTTTGATCTTTCACTATTCTATCAACACAGTGTAACTTCAATTGTTTTCTCGCATGTTATAAATTGATTATTTCGAACCTGGATGACACCTCGGAAGTTACAATCACTGAGAGGCAAACCAGCCCAACAACGCTAATTTAATTAATTGAATTTGATCCTCAGATTAAAAAAAATTGGACTGAATTAATTTAATATTGGCCTAATGAAAATACGAAACTGTCAATGTCATGAACAGGAAAAACTGATTTTTTTGTCTGTGAAGACTCGTCAACTTTTTAAGCAAAATGCTTCTTTTTGCTTTAGTTCAAGAAGGGTTCATACTAATTGATTAGAGCGTAAATGTTTTGGATATAAAATCTTGACCAGGGCAACCAGTTTCGGAAAATGTGGATAACTTGGCAATATTGACTAATATATTCGTATGAACGAAGTACAAAAACTTACTGAAGAGCAGCGATAAATCAAATAGATCTTTCATGTCACGGCGGTTTTTATACAGAAATGTCTCGCATGCCATTGCAAATTTGACAATTTGATGTAACCTCATGGATAGATGAACATTTTGAATGGGAAATTCAAGTTATTGGATCTATTCCATGTTCTATACTGTCATAGATAGAGGTATATTTCCATAAATACATATACATTGCATTATGAATAAAGTGGCTTTACACACATTAGACTTCAGTATGACGTTCCGTAGTAGATAGTTTGTACGTTTATCGATCATCTGTAGTAGCAGCTCTTCAACTTTTTTATATAAATAATAGAAAGCATGCAAAGATTCAACCTTTAAAATTATAACCAGCTGCGACTTAATTGTTTTTTGTGTAACCTTGATTGTTTCCTTTTAGCAATATTTTCTTTTTTTCATCAAACAGCCACATGAGACACTACATTAGAACATTGGTTGAATAATTTGAAAGTGGTTGTAAGAAATATTTCTATTTTAAACTAGGAAGTAATTTATTTACCCAGATTTATAGCTTTAATAAATAAGTGACTTGACATTATACTTTCTGATCATTACATCCAATGAACTCAATATACACAGGATCAATGTCTTTGCAAAACTGAACTTTATTGCAAAGAATGAGTTTTAATTAAATGGTAAATGAGTCTTTTCGATCCACCAACACAAGAACAAGGCTTCAGACGACCTTCAACAAGTGGCTGACATAGCCCCAGCAGTCCAATCTTTGATGGTAGAAACTTAATGAATGGTGTAAATAGTTACATGAAGTCTGACCAGAAATCCCGAGAGTCTGAACAGCGATTATGAAACGAGACAAGTGGTCTAACAATATTCTGTCTGTGAGAACATCATTCAAAAAGATCCTCTCATAATTCGTCGTGGAGTTAATAAGACGTGAAATGACGGTGTTTGCTTATACACCGCGATCCCTTCGGAGTTTTGGACAATTCTGTCATGTAATAGGCAAAGTATGAATCAGGAAATTTATTGTCGCTGGTGCAATGTCTACATAATGATTCATGACCTAAGTGTTTGTAAGCAAGTAAGCAATAATGCCCAATCCCCATGAAAGACCATTCAAAGCATAAATCACCATTCATATAAGCTGTATATTAGCAAGTGTCGCGTTTGATATTAAACGGTATATAATATACCACATCATCCATCATTTGGTTATTGCTACAAGAGTCTGAGTCTTGTTAAATAGAAGAATTCCACGTGGACTCATACATCATCAGAAAATGGTCTTGGTTATGATTAACTTTTTATATATGTAATGGTTATAGGGTGCCGACTTACAGCTCGGATCGTTATTTAAAGAAAGTTTGATGATAATGTCAACAAGTCTAATGATTTGAAGATTGGATATCTTCGCTTTCTTCTCACTCGTGAATCGATTTCTATTTCGTTTATCACAAGACAAAAGTTTTTGAATCTTGGAATCAAATAAAGAAAGAAAACAGTTGCAAGAATGTAGTATCTTTGATAGACGAAAGGTTGTAACAGTGTTAATCTGTGGAGAATGCATCAACTTTGATCTCTTTCTACCACAAAGACAAAACAAGATATAAAGGTATCAAACCCATTTTCAAGTTTGATAATTCGAATTGGAGAAAAGAATAAGTTAATTTGTAATATTAGATTAGAATTTAAGAGCTAAGAATAATGTGTTGCCTTAATCAAACATACAATGGATAACATCTGTGCGTTAAATAAAATAAAAACTTTGATATAAAGAAAAAAAACTATGATGTAAATAATAAAAAGCATGCTATGTCGTTAAACGAAAACTCATTTATGTTTTACATTCGGTCGCATCTTAATATTAAACATTTAGTCAATCAGATATATGTACTCCATTTGGTTTCATAAATCATTTATTTTCTATTTGCAACATAAACAAATACATCGAATGCACATAATCAACTTTTGAGATAGTTTACACAGCCAGAAAATTCATTCCCATTCAAGTTCAGAACCGAGACGACAAAATGATACATCGATAAAAGAGCAACCTTTTATTTCCCTGATTATCGTAAACATTCATCATTTCATAGTCAAGAATCTGATAACCACAGTAGAAGTTAAGATGAGTAGACAAGATAGAAAGAATCAGTGATGTATGCAGAATGAGGTAGAAAAAGATAAATGTAAACTGTTTATCTCTCAATTTTTACCGCCACGATAATCACTTAAGAACCTTTAAGGTGCTGTCCAATAGACTATTATGATTTGGTAGAGATAATCAAATTCAGCTCAATATAATAATTCTGCATTTAAGGTAACTTCACCGTATATATCTTAAAATGAAGTGAATTTAAGTTTTTTGTCTTTTCAACATTGTTTAAATCACGAATTTTCATCAACATAGCAAGAAAAGACGTAATATTAACACCGAAATAGCAAGAAAAGATGAACATAAACACCGAAAGAGCAAATAAATACATAACATAATCACCCAAATGACACGAAAAGGCGTAGGCATAACGACTTCGATTCCTATGTACCCAAGTATTTTTGGAAACAGATGCAATATATTTGTTACATTTAGAAACGCAGATTGGAAATTTTAAAGAGACGGTTTGAATATATGTAAATAGTTTTAATGATGAGAGCACATGATTTTGCGGAAGGGACAGGTACACGATTCTTGGGGGTTGATTTGAGTCTTGAATATATATATATAGTCTTCAAAGTACAAGAAATGTACGAAAATCACATAATTCTTTCAAAAATATCTCAAACTAGGAATTTCTTTTCCTATTTCAATAGATGTCTTTTCTTTATATGTGTCTCAAAAATAGCTGACTCGTCTGTTTAACTTCTAAACGTGGATAATTCTTGATACACGTGGATTTAAAGACTCAAATTTCTACGGTGAGCTGTGGACACTATATTGATTGGCTAAGCTAAAAAAAAATCCCGTTTCTGAGACTAAGGTATGATTGTTCAAAAAATGGCACATCTGTCCCTTTATCTAATCATTTAATAACTCTTTAAGAATAATATAATATTGCACCCATTAACTCAAGGACCATTAGTAAAGCCTCACAGAGTAGTGGTCGATTGCTACTTCATGACTAAAGTTAGTGTAAATAACGTATTATATAATTCTACTTGTACGTCTCACTGCAGCCAAACATTTAGTAAATCCCAAATTTCCGTTAATGTAATAAAGAGCAGATGAATACAGACGAATGGGTATTGATTTATTGAAAGATCTTTTAGTTATCCCTTGGTCTCTAACACATATTCCATTTCAACGAGAGTTTCTATAGGAAATTTACCAGATTTGTTTTGTATTGTGGCCCTTGTCAAAAGATTGAGATGAAAGCTATGGAAATATAGGTAATTTTATTAGCTAGATATAATTGCTAGACGTGGCTTCGGATACAAATAATATGGACTATGATCAAATGGATAATGAATTACCTTGCGGTATTAGATTGTAGACGTGTCTGGAAACTATGGAAGATTTAAGAAGACGAATGGTCGGCTACAACACAAGGTGTAGTGGTGGGAATTTAGTTTAGGGATCAATTAGATAGTACAGCACTAATGACCAACCTACCTGATATAAATACACATGTACTGCAGTACAATACATACGATGAGTAAAATTCAAAGTGACTTACCTTTCTAAATGTGAAAAACTGCTGACCAGAAAAATGATCCATGGATTTATTTTTGAAGTATGAATCATCACCATCAGGTTTCTCACAATTCTTTTCCTTGAAAAATTCGTCTAAGGTAGTTTTATCCGATGGTGCAACCATTTCATCTTTTGGTACACTATGCCACAACTGCTTCTCCACGTTTTTGTTTTCACCATGCTCTTGAACACATATGGTTTGTCCACGTCTACGTTGTAAGTCGGATCGTCGGACGTAGATGATCACGGCCACAATTATAATAGAAAGGATGATTGTTACTCCAGTTACGACTCCGGCAATGATAATATATTGCAAGTCTCTTTCTCTTGCCATTTCTAATGCTGTTGAGTTTACAAAGTCTACGAGAACTGTAAGGTGTGCTTCGGACGCCTGTTGTGTTGTACCTTGATCTTGAACTGAAATGCTGAGATAATACTCTGTTGATTCATAAATCCGAATCCTCTTTGCAAGAACTATTTCGCCAGTTTTTGTTCCTATATGGAACATGTTCTGCTCGTTTCCTGAATTGATATAGAAGGATAATACAGCATTTTCTCCAGCATCACTATCTGATGCCACTACTCGAGATATCACAGTACCAGGCTCAATATCAGATCGTATTGTCACAGTATTGTTATTATCCGTAGGAAATACGATTACCGGACTATGGTCATTGGAATCACTGACATACACCGTCACAGTGGCAGTCGTATTCCGAGGTGGTGATCCTTTATCCTTAGCAATGATCTTAAATGTAAAGCGCTTTTGGGATTCAAAATCTAGTTCTCGATCAGTTCGAATGACCCCATTAGAGAAAACAACAAATGGTAGACTATCGCCACTGACAATCATCGTATATTCAATGTCTGCATTAAAATTAAAATCTGCATCCGTTGCATGCAGCATGCCAACCTCACCGCCAGCTCTTGTGTCTTCGCGAACTGAAAATATCAAAGCGGCTGGACTAAATTTGGGGCTATTGTCATTTTGGTCTATAATTCTCACGAGTACTTCCGCAGTTCCTGTCATAGGTGGAGTACCCTCGTCAATGGCTAAAACTGTGAAACTCATTTCAGATATAGTTTCCCTATTAAACACGTCATTAGCAACAATCTCTCCTGTATTCGTGTTGATTTTGAACATGCCCTGATCATCCAGTTTGAGGCGATAGTGAACAATTGCATTCCTACCAAGATCGTCATCAACAGCAGAAACGCGGATTAGAGGTCGGTCTATAACATTATTTTCTTCAAGGGTTGTTTCATAGACTCTCTTTGTGAAAATCGGAGGGTTGTCATTCTCGTCCGTAAGTTTAATTCGAAATTTGGTTCTTGCCGAGAGTCTTGGGGTTCCGGAATCACGACACACAACGGTAACTTTAAGTTCATCAACGAGTTCTCGATCTAAAGGCTTTTTCACTTGAACGATATACCCACGGCCTTCTAGCTTATGAACAGAAAAATACTCATGCAAGCAGGAACACAGAACATCTCCATTAGGACCCTGGTCTTTATCGTCAATATTTACATGGGCTACAACAGTACCTATCCGTGCACCTTCCGGCAGTAATATCATGTCACCTACCACGTCTGATACCGGATTGACAGTTATGATGGGTGGATTATTTCCCACGTCTATAATCCTCAAAATCAGCTTTGCTTGACCAACTTGTGGCGGAGTACCTTGGTCAAAAGCTTCCACAATCGTCTCAAATTGTTTGCCTGATTGATATTGAAGTTCATTTTTCACGGTGATATCACCGCTTAAAGGATTAAGTGCAAAGAGCTTTTCAATATCAGGGTTTTTAAGGGTGCTAAACCGATATGATACTTTACCATTACTGTCACTATCGCGGTCGATGGCGTGTATTTTAGCAATTACTGAATAAATTGGGGTGTTCTCTGTCACTGATACGTCATAGATTTCTTCTGTAAATTCTGGCGAGTTATCATTTTCATCAGTAATATTAACATTGACAGTCACATTTCCAGATAAGGGAGGTCGACCGCCATCTTTGGCCACGATAAAAAACCGATAATAATGTTTCTTCTCGCGATCAATGACATTTTTTACCACGATTCTCAGATCAGAAGTTCCATCCAATTTCTTGTCAACTTTCAAATCAAATAAATTAGCACTTGAAACCATTTCATATAATTGAACAGAATTGTTCTGACCCCTGTCTAAATCTGTGGCTCCGTTTATTCGATATGTCGATCCGGGATTCACATTTTCTGGGATAAAAACGGTGATTTCTAATTCTGGGAATTTAGGAGGGTTATCGTTTAAATCATCGATGATAATTTTCACAGTAACGATCTCAAAAAATGACGTCACTAACGAACTGATTTTTATGTCGAAAGTAATGACACATTCCGATGTAAATTCGCAGACTTTTTCTCTATCAATCTTCTCAACAGTGGACACGTCACTATTTTCTGGGTTGATATTGAAAAGTGAAGCAATACTATCGTCATTAGGATTCAGAAAACTATATCGAAGACTGTTAAATTCTGATTTTGAAAGGCCTCTGGCGATGTTAATTTTACTGGCAATATTGCCCACGATAGTTTCCGGAGGCTCAGACTCGACAAGATGAAATGAAGCTTCCATTTGTTCGGCCATCACCAAACCAGAGAAAGTTAATGTTGACAAAAGAATCTTTAATAATGTTGAATGTCTCTCCATTTTGAAAATTAGTTCCTGTTACTTTACACTTGTGTTTCTTCACGCCGTCTAAAATCAATCACACTTTATTCAATCCAATCCATTTCAGAGACAAAAAAATCTGAAAAGACAAAAAATATTTCATTACAAATTAAAGAATTATCGAGAAGCAAGAATGAGAAATGCCATTTTTAACAAGGTTAGTGGAAGACTGATAACGCCTAGCTCAATATTTCATTGGTAATTTATAGCTTCCACCTTGTTAGGTCATTGGTTAGGTTAACACCTAAACACGATTTAAATAGTACATTTAGAAAGTCAATAGAAAAAGATGTCGGTTTTTGATATTAATAACTATTAGTATAACTCTTAGACAACACCACAAAATTCCGATATACATAGTGGTAGAGGAAATGAAATGAAAGTCATATATTCTGCTCCCTATTTAACTGTATTAAAGAAACGCAATGTATAACAGAGATTTCCCGAAATTCTAACCTGGTTATGAGTTTTTGCCCGAAATACTTCCTGTGAGGGGGGTGGGCTCAGCCACTGTTTCAATTTTCAACTGTTGGGGGACCATATACCTGCACAGCACGTTGCTCAAGAGGCCACTGTGTAACAGTTTAAGTAGTCTGGTAAGATGCTAAGCAGTTATTAGAGTAACATTAACAACAAAGAATTTCCAATCTGATGTCATCCAATTTAGGAAAACTAATCCTCATTTAGTTAATGAAAATAAAAACTGAAAGAAAATTATGTTGTATAATAAAAGCTGCTTATAAAATAACAATAGTACTCTTACTTTGAAGGGTTTTAGATATTTCCAACATTCTTGAAACGTAAAGTAATTAGAATTTTACATTATGAACTGATGAGATATGATCAAAACACCCACAAATAAACCAAAAACTATCTACTTACATAAATAAGACTAAAAGAGAATGAAGACTTTTGAATCAAGCGAAACTTGCCATTTTTAGCCCTACCTAAGAACATCCAAGCATCCAAAATAAATCACAGAAGTATATCTTTGAACTTTTTAACCCAACGTTCAAACTGTCCAGCACACTTATTGAAGATACAGAAGATCTAACTGACAAACAAAAAGCAAATCATCAGAATGCCCTTTCGATACCTGACACCAAAAAGCTCCATCTAAATCCAATGTGGTCTATTTTGAGGCTTGATATGATTAGTAGTAACGATTTTTCTAGAGCTTGGAACAGGCTAGCTACACATTTATCATATTTATTGTAAGTCTATAGAAAACTAGGATATATACCATCTGATGGCTCATTGATTGTATTCTAAAAACGTACAGTCTTAGGTTTTCCTTCACTTGTATAACACCTGATACGCCCTCAAAATTAGCATGGAATTAAGGAAATAAAAAGGTATTTGAGAACACAAACGCTGTATGCTATATCAAAAGAAAGACATTCTAAGTGTCGGTTCTCGCTAATCTCTTAAACCGAATGCATGTTACTTACCAATAGTTTGTAGCTACCAGACCCTCTGAAATGCTTAACTGAAGACGATTCGCCGATGCTTAACGATATGTTTGGTTTGATCTATCACAAACCTTCAAGAGAATTCGCTTGCTTATCAATTATTTCTCAACTCTTGTCACCCTATCACTACATCAAGGCTGCTACTCAACCATGGGCGACACTGGTTTTATTCAAAAATGTATCCAATTGATTGCGCACAAAGATAGAATCAACAGAATATTCCTTATGAGACGGTAAGGTGAAATCCCAAGATAGTTGTTAAAGACCCTCTTTTACCCATTTACGAATTGGAAGACACCTGTAACTGCTTCTTTTACGATACGACGTTTGTGGACGTTACCCATGTAAGTAAACTAGGTAAGAACGCAAATAGAATAGCAAGTATTGTATTCAGAATGAACGTATGCCTACATTACCCAATAGACTTGTTTAAGTTTAGATCACACACCCTAATAGTTAATTACACCTCTAAATAGACGAGAAAAAATCCAATTCTCTAGGGCCTAATTTAAATGCCATTTCACAATAAATTTAGGATTCTTTGATACAATGACTTAAGACAAGTCTTGAGATGGGCTAATTTCAAAGGACAAATAAGACGTGTTTGTTGTGTAATCACAAGGGATTGTCAATGTCTACATATTGTGTTTACTTATCAATTTCCCGTCATTGTCGTCAATTGTTATCATTTCATCTTCTCCCTATGGACTTGCTAATTGTGTAACTTCCATCACTATTCTAGTCTTAAGATATAACTAATGAATCTCTACTAGATACAAATATACATGTACTTTTATGCCTTTGTAAATAAAACATTGTTCAATGAGTTAGAAATTTCAAAGTTGATGCTTCAAACAACTGATTAGCTTACTCGCTGCCACATTACTTTCTTACTCTAGCAGGGCGTGTCGTAAAATGTAATGAATCGAGAGCGTATAAAATAGATCTCGAGTGACGCATTATCAGTTGCATATTCCCGATTTGATCTAAACAGAACACCTTGCATTCATAAGCAACAAGAACAAAACTTGAAGTTACAAAACTACAAATTCCGAATCCTACAATGGAATTTGCAGTATAACATTCATGTATTGAGTTTGAAAATTGAGTTACAAGCAGGGTCACAATTTAGTATCAGTTGTACCAGGAGTGAACATTTACTCTATTTCTTTAACAAAACTTTCCTAGGTTTATTTTAGTGGTGATATGGTCGACATCAAGACTGAATCTGAAATCCACAGTTCTTTGACTCAAGTAAAGCATTACCAAATGACAATAAATGTGTTTTTGCATTTTTTAAAATCCTGTCTGGGATTTCTTTCGCTTTAATACGTTCTTAATTATTCCCTGTCGTTTTAAGTCTATCTTTTTTTCCGGGAAACTATTTATTTGAACAGATTTAAGCGTTTTTCAATACCAAATTATTCCAATTCGTTCGCCTGAGACAATTCTAAATTACTGGTTAACTACTGATTTTACATTTTATATTGTAGTCACACTATGCGAAAATGATATTACGGAATTATCATACAAGGAGAGAAAAGGGCAAGAATCCGGCATATCAGTTGATAAACGTTGGTTAAGGTCGTTTATCACCACCATGTCATTCGACCCGATCAGATCTTGCGAATTATCAACAACCAAAACAACAACACAGAATCATTCAATTTGAAACAATCCATCTCTACCCAATATCAAGTTTGCGATACCAGAATGCGCTGAGAGCTACTAACCAGGTTAACGTTGTTTCAAAATGCACCGGAATTCACCATACGTAATATTTATTCTTTATAATCTTCATGGTAATTTGCAGATAAATATAACAGAATTAAATGGTAGAACTGACTTGATTTGTTAATAACCCTTGCAGGGATACCCTATTGTCTGAATTGAAGGATAATCAATACATATGAACGCAGAAGAATCAAATTTTATTTTTTAAAATTAAAAACCTATTGAAATTGAAATTATATTATAGAATTATACTTTCTCTAGTCACACTAGTCACAGAGGATTAAAAGGTCTCATATAACATTTAAGAAACCTTCATATATCAAAAGTGTGAATATATACGCCCGAAATAAACACGGAATAGGTTACCTTAACATTTCAAACACTATTTAAATTGACTTCCTATAAATTGAAGCCATAAAGATGAATAATTAAAGTTGTCATTTAGAGGAATGGGAGTTGTATATTATCATTATCGAAATCTTCTTACAAGTTATTGCCTACTAGCATGAGATGCTACTGAAGAATACAAACTGATTGGGTCGCTATCACATGATGAGAGTTGGACATGCAAGAATTAATCCCTTCTTCCTTGCTGCATTCGGTCAAGACCGTAAGAAATACAGGAAGCACATCCATAGCCTAAACTAGCTTTCCAAATCATGTCTAGTTGACTTACCCATAATTGTGACATGTGGAAAAACCAATGCCAAGAAATACCATCGAAAGGATCATCGAGAACCTAATTATCCTTGTGACCTTTGTTTCCTTCTCCGCGCCTTTGGTACTGGTAAATGACCAAATTATATCCAGCCAGGAGGACATTAAGGTCATTTTGACCCCAGCTAATACATTAGACCCAAATGAATTACATCGTTTATAAAAAAAACTCTCGTTCCCACCTTTGCTATTATTATTACAAAATTTGTCTGTGTCGTCAATTACTTTCTTAAATTATTGATTGGGACGGATATATCGGCCTTTTTGCGTTTTAAGCATTCACTTGAAAAGCTGGCTGAACATCAGAGAACCTTTTAACGGAACCAGAGTGTCTATTTCCAATACTTTGCTTGATAACAAGTTTCCAATATGTAATCCAAACAAAAACAGGGAAGGCTTGAATACAAAGTTCAAAGAGACATTTAGAATTAAAACTTAATCTCTCTGCAATAAAGACTGTAATGATATCTAAATAACACTTTCAGAAAAATCGATTCTGACAAAATTACTTACATTTCAATCAAAATTGTAAATAAACTATTACGATAACCATTATTCTTAATAGTTAGCACCTATTATACATCTATTGAACTGTCTGTTGTATTTCTATCGGTTACAAAATCATTTGTTAGCAGGGAACTTTCTGATGCCACTCTATGATTGTATTGTCACAAAGTTACTTGTTTAGCATGTATTTGTCTGATGTAAACGCAGTTGTATTGTCGCGGCTTTAAAAATGCACTTTAATAACGCTGTTAGCAGCAACTTATTTTCTACAGCTAGGCGATTGAAGGCTCAACTTACCGTCAGTGTCCATGCTATTCCGCGATGTCAACTTGCACAGTTTTAAAAACAGAGCAAGCAACTCTACACTGATTTGTTAACTGGAATGCGATTCTAGTCAACACTGTTGGTATATCAAATTCGTTTCCTCACTAATATCAATGTCAATTTTCAGTTAACTTTATGGACATGGTGCAC